TATGGTAAAATAATTACATATACCAACAATAAACATTTTCTTTAATAATATTTGTTTAATCCTGTACTTATTTTACCATATTTTTTTTCATTTGTCGAAAAAACTCCTTGGAAAATCGAAATTTAACCTCTCTAAAATACCACCCCAAGAAAATTTCCTTTCAGAAAAAAATCTACATTGTATACATCGGAGTAAGTTTTCTAGTAGAAAAAGTGTAACATAAAAAAAAAATAAACATAATCTTTGTAATATCATAAGCTTCTTCGCTCCATTCAAAATCTAAAATTTAATATACGCACAGGTACTCGTTTATTTTTTTATTCAATGTTTTAATAACCATTAATCTAAAATAACTCGTTATTTTTTTAAATAGTTTTTTTTACGGTTATTTTTTTATACTAACAGTTGAAGATACAAATAAATATTTAAATTTTATACAATAACTGAAAAAGTGAAAAATATCAAAATAAAATTTACTAATACGAAATCTTCGTGCATAGATATAATCACTGGTTCATGATAAATGATTCAACCTTATACTACTATTATTTATTAGATACTATTTAGTACTATTTAGAGTATTTGAAGAAGATGGGGCACATCGGATATTTAATAATGCTTTGGTTATGAGCATTTTTAACGAGACGTTAAAAAAAAAAAAAAATTGACCGACTTAATTAAAACTATTCAAATTAATTTACAAATAAATTTCAAAAAACGGTGACAATTGACAAGTATCTATTGTGTAACTGTAAAATTTGTTCAAAGATACGTTCGCGCAAAATCAAACAATTAGTTCCTATACCCATGAAAGTGAATTTTTTAGATGTTTTTACGCTAAATCATATTAAATAACTCATTTCGAGATGAAACGGTTTTATTCGACATGGGGTTTTCACGTTCGAAAACACTGTCACGCTGACATAATCCTCTGAAATAATCCTTGACGACACTTTTGTACCTACAAGGGTTTCATCGCAACTATTTTGCTGCGACCGAACATAATATATAATGACACGATATAGGAGATTGGCCAAGGATACGTAATAATCCATCACATGTAATATTAATGTGACATAGCTTTTCTTTTTGTAACGATTACCGAGTTACTACATTGAAATTTCAGGGTTACGGTATCTTTGGGGTTCGTCTTTTTTTTAGAGTGGCCACGGCGCAATCTATGTTATGATATTATAACAAAATATAGCCTTTTTGCAGTAAAACATATTCAAATGTTTATCCAAACTGTCAGTACAATAGTTTCACATAGTTCTAATAAAAATATATCCCTCCTGAACAATTTATAATTTTTGTCCTCTGGTATCGACAGAGGTATAATAATAATTATTAATTCGTATATAACTTGATTACTAAACTTGTTACTTATGTAACAATTTACTCGGAATAAATAAATTAACTTACAACTTGTAACCATTTGCGTAACTTGGGATTAACTCAGATTAATTTGTAGCCACCTATCTATCTGTATTTACGCTATATGATATACACCTGCTACAGTGGCTTACTCTTCCCCGTCTATCACGATCCCGTCCCCGGGACTCTGCGGCGAATTTTCGAAAATCACGTGCCACGCGTCTTTATTGTATTATTGTAATATAATATAACAGAATTATCGACGGAATATAATTATCCGTGATATCTCCGGGATAGCGAGGACGACGGGATGGGTCTGAAATCCGTCAGCCGCCGTCAAAGCAAAAGCGGTCGCCGCGTCTCGGATTGACAGGAGACGGTCGTAAACGAGCGCTGCTGCGTGTATAATACCCGTACATTATACGCGCGGCCTTTTCGTTTTATTTGCCGGGCACGTAGTCCGACGCGATTATTATTTCAACCCTTTCCGGAGGGTATAGCGGAAATATATCGTATATACGTATATGTATACGAACTGGGGCTGTGACGGCGGCGGCGGCGGCTATGGCGGTAGACTGCGCGGGTATTTTAAAGCACGTCGCCGCTCTCGGGATGCGAGACCCGAACCTGATAAAATCTCTCGCAGTGTAAACATAATATACGTACAAAAATATCTTATCCGGACGCGAATCGACGTTATATTAAATTCGGACGAAATTTGTATTTAAAATGTCTGGATAACGTTGTATTTGTTGTATGTTTTTATAGTCGCGTTTGCGTGAAATAACCGTAGCTTCATGGCTATAATATTGTATCCGAGGTGGGCGAAAACGCCAACGTGATATAGTTACAATAGGTAATAATAATAATAATACGATTCTACTAATATATAGTGGTATAGTGGGAAAAAAAAAAATAATAAAGTAAAAAAGAGAGGGACATACTTCCGACGATTTGTGGGCCACTGCTGTTGGTGAAAAGTCGGGAAGGTAGAGGGGAAATTGAATGTATATCTGTACGCAACGATTAACCATTGCTAACGAAAGACCATTCTGAACGGAGTTCGGTAAATAATGTCGCTTTATATTATTTACGAATAAGGTATATACGAATTGTATTAAAATTCATAAAATCAATGTTCAATATGAATTGAATATGCGATTAAATATTATTTTACACCAATTTTTTCATATAAATATTCGACTCTCCCCTACCTAAACTAAAATGTGGAATTTCTCGTCAACAGGTTCCAACACCAAAATATATTTCAAACCAACATTTAGTCTATTTATGGAACTTTGAATATCGATTCTCGATTGAATTTTGAAGTTTATCCCTAAATCTCTCTCTCTCTCTCCCTCCAAAGAAAATGACAGTAGACAAAATATTCAAAATGATTTTAGATGTTTATAAATTGAAAAACTTTAGTATTACACATTTTTCTCGATTTTGTATATTTTTACATGATAAAATGGCTGTAACATAAATATTAAATCAACCTGTATATTATGATGATTTTAAATCGCAAAATATCGGTTAAAATTTAAACACTAATAGCTTTAATGCTTTCTCTAGAATGAATTGATTCGGCACCAGTGCTTCAGTTTATATACTGGTTATAATATTGTATCGACATAATACATTTCAACGCTTAATTATTGTAAACTTCGCTCCGACTCCAATGGATTTAAAAGAAAATATTAAAAACATTGTCTCTAAATCTGTAGAGCTTTTTCGCATTTTAGTCGGTTATTTAGATTCTGAGCTTTATTCTGGTGTGCATTTTTTTTTTTTTTTTTTTTGTAAACGATTATTGTTTTAATAAAAATCTTGCTCCTATCATCAAGTATAGCATCTTTCTCCGTCGGTTAAAAACCGCCTTAAACGGAACGTTAAACATCGGAGAGAAACCCGAAAAACATGACCGTTCATTTCATTGTAGATTTCCGTTCTACGGAATTCTTAAAACAAAATCCGTGTGTAATTAGATTGTAGGACCTTTGAATTACTATATTATACCGTTGTTTCTGCGGTATCTCGATTTATCTCGATCCGAGGGTCCAATTTATGTGTGAAAATTTTTGTGAATTCGTTTTCAGAATACGCTTTATAGCGGGGATACCCCGCGGTGACGGGTCGACCGAACGGTGTATCCCGGAAAAAAACCGTACAACAGGCAATAGAAAATTCGATATAATATTTTACTCATATACAATTCAATCGCGGACGTTTTGTATAGATACGTATAGGTGTACGCATTGTGTATTTATTGGGGAAAACACAATTGCGGACGTTTTACCTTTTTTTCGTGATACTTTATAATTTATAATATTATATTTATATACTATATAACCGTTGTCATCACCCGGCGTTGGCCAGGTAAAAAATACCCCTGAAATCGATAAAATAAAATTACATTTTACACGCCCTCCTGTCTTCCCATCACACTTTCCGATATATACAGATAATCCCGGGGTTGTCTTACGCACGCAGCCTCTTTCCCCAGATCATAATTCATATGACGTCTTAGTACCAGGTACCTAAACCAATTGATCGGACGAAATTTTTCTAGCCGTGCCTATTGCCCTGTAGATTGCCCTGGTTTTACAGCCATGTAAAATAACCTCAAAATAATAATAACAACATTTGTCTCTTGAATAAAGGTTTTCATCCCATAAAAAATATTAAATTAGGTTTTTCCTGGTGTAACCGAGGAAATATTTTGAAATATTGGGTCCGAAATTCGAATGTGATCTTGTAAATATTCCGGTGATTGGAAAAAATGCATTGACTGAATTTAATAACTTTTTGGAAAAATAAAATTACTTTTATTTTTAAGAAATAGTAAATGCGAATTAATTAGTTTTATGACAGAATGTAATAATGTGAATACAATTATAGAATTCTAAAAAATTACTAAAATAATAATAATATTTAAAATATGATAAGCACATTAAAATCATAAATATATGTTAGATTTTGGGCGCAACGTAAAATGTATTGATTCTGATTATAATGTGTGTTAATTGTTCTGTGAATAAGGAACTTTCCTACTAAAAACTTTTATTTAATTTTGTTTTTTCTTCATTGTAGTTTTCTTAATATTTGTGAATACCGGTATACCTAAAACGATTTTTATTATTTTCTATTTTGTTTTTTTGTTGTAAATCAGTTTGAAATAATCGAAGTTCCCTAAAATTTCGCAAAATACTTATGTCAGTATATTTTAAATGTGGTAAAATATTTGGTGATTTTTGAATAATTTATAAGCATTTACATTTTTTATTTTATTTTTTTTTTTCAAAAACCGATCGTAAAGTAGAAGTTTTTTTTTTATTAACGTTAAATCATAGTTTCGAAAATCGTTACGATTTTCCCCTTATCCATCAGCATGCTTATCAGCGATATATTTTTTTCTACAATTAATACGAAAAACGATAGTACATTTTTCGTACATTTTTTTTTTTTTTTTTGATACATTCCAAAATATAATGAATGCAAATATGGAACGCATTCATTATAAAATAAGAAAATTAATTACTTTTTCAACTCGGGAATTTAAATTGGAATGCATTATTCTGTTAATGAATTTTGCCAAACACTGAGATATTTAAACTTAAACATTTTTATATATTGCACGCAGGTTCACTGAAAACACTTCCTATAATATAGGTATGATATAATATGGTATAACCTCTTGTTAGTATACAAGATTCTGGTAATTGTAAATGCCTACGTCCACCATATCCGGGAAACTCATTAACGAACTCCTTACCATTTCTCACGTCTTTGGTCGATCGGGCCGCGGTCTCCCTGTCGACGGCCACGGTCACGGCCACTGCCTTGACCACGGCTCCGAGTTTCATCGTGGCCCGGCCGCTACCGCCACCGGTGTATCCGCCGACTCTGTCACCCTGCAACGGCATCTCGACGACACAATAGGGCGACGGGTAAAAACGTAGTGCGGTATATCGGAGCTACGGGAACAATATAATATTATTACGGTTACGGGGAAAGCTTCGGGAACGATTTTATTTTGCGTGGTGGTAGTGGTAAAGAAAAAAAAGTGCGTTTTACGTGTTCGAAAACCATTATAAACGTGCTCACCCGTCACACAAGATACCGGCGGAGGCGGTATTCACGCCATATCGTAATCAAACGCTATACGACCTTTAAACGACGGCGCGATAAATTGATCTCACACACGCGCGCGCGCGCTCGTTCCTCCCCCCCCCCCCCNCCCCCCCCCATAAGTAGACGTACTCATTAAAAATTAGACAAAACGTTAATAATTAACATTCGGTGTATTATTTTTGCAAAACAGTTCGATTCAGAGACGTGCCGATAACAATAGTCTGCTATTCTGTACGGATATTATCTAACTCGAGAATTTTTTAATGTTTTTTTTTTTTTTTTTTTTATGTAAACACCCAGTAGAGTAAAATGTTGTCAACTGTGTGTTCATCCGAAAAAATAATAGTAAATTATTGAACTTGAGGAAATATTCTCACATTTGGGGAGATAGAAAAATTGAGGAGAATCAAAAATTTGATAGAAAAGTTTAGTCTATCGGCTCGTGGAATTCATTTTAGCGAATGGAGGGTGGACACTCTGGGGATATTCACTAAACAATTTTCTACGTTTTGCCGCAGCTATATAATATCGTTCGTGCCATATTTCATGAGAAAGCACTACGCAGGTTATAAATCACGAGTTAAATTCACTATTCTCAAATCGTTTTCCTAACCATATATGGTTTTTAGTACAATAACTGATGATCTCCATCATTCCACCATTCTTTACCTCCATTCAATTTCTTAAAAATATGTGTGACTCTATAATGCAATAACGGTTTATATGCTGTTCTATTGTGAATATTGATTGAAAGTGGCTCAGTCCATTTATGAACTAAATTTTATGGTATATGGTTGATACCAAAAATGAACTAAACTTAGTTGAATTTAATTTTAAAAGCACTCTTTAAAATTTGTCTAAGGAAAAAGATATTTGACTACGATAGTAATCATTAAATCTTGTTTTAGCGTAATTGACGAGTACATAAAAACACAATAAGGTAAAATAAATTTTAAAATATTAAAGTAAAAGAACTATACCCGATATCTATTAAATCTGTTATCTTCTATTTTTATAAAACGAAAAAACCCTCCGAGAATCATTTTCAGTTTTATTTTTACGCTTGTAACGAAGTTTTTAAAATAATTCGAGTGTTTTGACGAGAAAAAATTAGCATCGCGTTGTCTAAAACGCGTACGGTGGTAATTATTATTTTAATCTCATCCACGAGTTAGCATCATTCTATTGTTATGATTGCCGTATAATATCATAAACGTCTTGCCGTCAGGACTCGGGTTTATGCATACGCGACAAGGGAAATTTATACGGATAAATTAATTAATTCGGATCTCGAACGGGTATAATAATAATAAGCTATCACCGCATTGTTCCGATTTCCGACTTAGTACCGTACAAATAACATAATTTTATCGTAGATAGACTTTTGAATAATATTTTGTTTTCCGTAAAAGAACCACGGAAAATCTATATTGTTAAAAATAGATTACAATCAGCATCTTATTTATTTTTGCTTGATTAAGTTAAACATTGTCTGATAAGCCGCATTTTTAGATGTAAACTTTGTATAGCTTTCATTAATAAATTAATTTTAAATTTAAATAAATAAATATTCGATAATGATTCGTATAATGCATACAGACTGTTTTTAATAAAACACCATTAATTATATAAACATAATATTATTATAAATTATAACATACAATAGCAAAGTCGGGAATTATAGTTGAGGGAAAAATTTGTATTGAGCTCTTCATACATTAAATGTAAAATAAAGAGTAATACTCTGAACGGATATTCAATGTAATAATAGTTATTATTTGGTTTTATTATAAGTATTTTATTTTTATTTTTTGTATACGATCTCTATTATCAAAATCAAGGGTGTTGGCTTCTGGTAGGTAATTTGGTCTATTCTTTGCATTGAAGTGATAATTTTTTGAAACACAATATACTTCTATTGATGATGTGGGTGGGGAGTGAGAAAGAAAAACTGGTATATTTACGTAATAAGTAACTTTGTTATTTTCGATTTAGTTTTTTGTCAATTCAATGAAAAATAATATAATTAGACTTGAAACTTACGAATAAAACGAATACTTTTGAATGAGCACTTTTTGTGAATGAAAATTATCAAGCTCAAATTTATGTAAATATTAGTTAAAACAACAATTATAATTTATTTTGTAATATTACAAAAATATTAATAAAATGTTTAATTTAAATCAATTGAAAAATATTTAATTGAACTACGCTCACAATTGTTTTTGTTTGCATTAACAGATCGTACATAAACGACTTTTTAGACGATTTTTGATAATCAATACAAAATCGACAGTTGGACTATCGTTTTTGAACTGATGCAGTTTAATCCATCGTTTCTCACTAACACGGCGTTCCTGTCTTTTTAGTAAGTAAAGCCTAAACAATTGAAAGGCTAAAACCGTTGATAAGTGGTGTAAAAACTGTCTATAGACAATTTTAATGCGGCGCATAGCCTTTTAAAACAAACTATAAACCCAAGAGGCTTTTACAAAGTTTTTAGCAGTTATCAAACTGCTAATAGTTCAAATAAAATTATTAAACATTTACTATCATAATTGATTATTATTTTACACAAAGTTTAGTATAAATTAAGGTACCTACTTAAGTAAAACCAAAACCAAATAACTTGCCATTACTAATGCGGGAATTCCTGTTATTGCCATTTTTCCCAAATAAAATTAGTTCTAAATGGATAAAAAACGATATTTATGATAATTTACGTGCACACGTGAATGTGCATGTTTTCATAGTTTCGTACATGTATGTAATTAACATGTTTTGAACTTAGACTGGGATTATCTGTCATCAACTCATCCAATATGAAAGTGTTACGGAATACTCGTTAATGGATAATTAAGAATAAGAACGTTGACGGTTTTTTTAATAGTTTTGATATCATACATCGGGAATTTCATTCTGTTACCATTAACTTTGATTCCAAAACTGTTAGAAAAATCGCTCGTGTAGGACTACCTATTAGCTGGTTTATTGTTGCATAAGTAAATCCGACCGTTCACATTCTACCTTCAAAATTACCCCCTACAATAATAGACTAATACAATATTGATAGATAATGCCAGCTAGTTGTTTTTTAATCTACAGCGCCTCTTATCGTTAGCTTAAATGAATTCGTAAAATATGCTGTCGTTACTATATTGTTAGCATATTGGTATTACATTTTCTTTAAATATTTGTAATATTTTTAAAATGTATAGATATATTGTTTATATTATTTTGAAATCATCTTTCTTCGTTTTATATATATATATATATATATATATCAGCCGTTTTAACTATAAAGAAAACAAAAATAATAAAGGTGTTTAATAGCCCACGATCATTTTCATTCTTTTAAATAGGGATATACAAAAAAATAAATGCTTCATAAAAGTCGAAATCCATTATTAAGACCTTGAAATACATCTCTCCATTTATTATATCGATTTTTCTTTTCCTTTTTGAAGTACGAATTTCCATTTAGTTATTAATCCCTTGTCGTCTCTGCTACATGAAAAGACTGCGGAATCTCAATAATGGTTAATATTTTTTATTCTCTACGGACGAATACTTTGGTGTTATCAAAGCGGTACATACTGAATGTAATGACAATTTTAATATTTTTCGTGGGGATAAAAAAAATATGATAATAAAAAATACTGAAAAAGTTATAAATTCAAACAAATTTCGACGTGACTTACAAACGATCAAAGCGATGCTTTAAAACCGAAGTGCAGGTGGAGTTATCGATATTCATTTTTTCGCACGGCGTTACAAACAGGCAATTTTACTACTTTGGTGCGTTGTGGGCCTGACTTCACCCCGACGACCAGTATAATCAGTATTATACTTAGGTTGCATGGAAGTTGGAGTTATATTACCCCCTACTTCATAATATAATAATTATACGTATTATAAGTATTAATTGGGTGAATTAATCTTCAAATGTGTATATTAAAACCTAGTTAAAATAAAGAATAACTTTATATATTTAAGACAATTTTAATCTTCTTTTAATTCGGTTTTTGAATTCCCAAAAACCTCATTGTCGGGTTTTAAATTTTGAGCGCAGTGCAGAATGTATTGGTTTTACTAAGATGTTTGCAGTTTGTTTTTTGTCTATCAACAATATTTCTACTTAATAAAAATTTAACTCCGATTTTATTTTCTAAAAGAAAATTGCAATTAGTTATTAACAATATATAGGTCGCATTCTAGGAAAACAGTTAGATATACATTACCTATACATTTTTTTTTATAATATTTTTATAATATTTTATTTATTTTCCTTTTTTCCCGGTTATTACCATGTTTTTCTCATTTAGTAGGAAAACTCCTGGAAAAATTAAAAAATTACTTCCCTAAAGTACCACTTCAGGAAAATACCCTTTCAGAAAAGGTTTCATACTTGATTCTTTGGAGCAAGATTTCTAGTAGAATTTTTCTACAGCATAAAAAAAAACAACTTTGTAAAATACCTTCGCTACACTTAGAATCGAAAATTGATCAAATAAAACTTACGATCGGTATTTGTTTACAAAGGCGTCGTCGTCCTTCCGTGTTTTCGTGTCTACGTCAAACTAATAATATATAGTATTTTTAAAACACAGAAATTATACGCTGTACTCGACATTTTCAAGGTCTGTTTTTGACACAGACTACTCGTATATTGCTACTACTCGTATATTGCTACTACTCGTGTATTGCACGTTCAATAAAATACGCTTAATTCTGATAACCCTTCTGGTGAACTTTAACAAGTCGTTTATTATAAATAAATTTTAATACGTAA